TTAGCAACCCTTTTAAATACCTCCCTCAAGCTTCCAGAAAGATTTCTTCACTTAGTGGTATCAAATAGGTTGATAATTTTCCTATGAAAGTGACCTATTGCTCAAGAGAGATTGAGCTGTAAAGTATTTCTCTGTTTTCGTTATTTGCTTGCTACTTTATGTCCCCTTTCTTTGCTTTCCTCTTTAAAAAGCAGGTTAGCAAAAATAAGTTCGTGATAAACAGATTAAATCCAGAAAGATTTCTTCACTTAGTGGTATCAAATAGGTTGATAATTTTCCTATGAAAGTGACCTATTGCTGAAGAGAGATTGAGCTGTAAAGTATTTCTCTGTTTTCGTTATTTGCTTGCTACTTTATGTCCCCTTTCTTTGCTTTCCTCTTTAAAAAGCAGGTTAGCAAAAATAAGTTCGTGATAAACAGATTAAATTGAGCAACATCAGGTATAATTCATCCTCCCATATAAGCAGAGTCAGCTTTACTCCTACAATTGAACTTAGGGGGAAAATTAAGAAAGAAAAAAGATAAATGAGCCCAAGAGAACAAAACCGTGATGTGTGCCTGACAAATAGTGAATGAACACTGGCAGTGCCCTGAGGAACCTCTACTACACTATTGACTGTATCGAGATATAGAAAAATTAAAGTTATAGAACAGCAAGTCCTAAAGCTACTTCTTACATACTCATTCTTTTAAGTGCTTCTTTTGAAGAGAAATGCAAGTTCAAATGAACTATGCCCACCCACCAGGAGAAAAAAGAGGCAAGAGTAACAACAGTGCCTCAGTTCACACAGATGAGAATAACTGGAGCCCAGTTCAATCTGTGAAGTAAACAGAGGCAGGATGAGGGCTTTTCAATTTACACCTACAGCCTACAAATTAGTAAGCAGTCTGACAGGATGAGCTTGCCAGAGATTGCATAATAACCCTACCCCCAGCAACAATGCAGAGAACAGGAACAAAATGGTAGCTCTATACCAGCAGGGAATTTCCCTTTCTAATTACTGACTACTATGAAAAGCCTTCTCAAGAGCCAAACGTTAGCTTTTGTGCAACTGGATTGGGAATCTCTTAATTATTCTTGATTTATTTGCATGCGAAAATTAATTTCAATGCTGTTTTAATAATCAAAAGTAACTATGCATAAAAATACAAAATATTGTACAGCAAATATGGGTGGAAATTTTATTTGGTAAAACAGTTTTTTTGTATCCAAAATTCAACAGATTACCAGTAATAATGGCTTGTTGGAATGCCTTGCCTGTATCAGTATTCATTATATATTAATTGTCAGTATCAACTGAAAACAAAAGTACCTAAGGCAGAAATTTGTGCTTTTGCAGTACATGTAGAGTACATTCAGACACTACTCCTTATACAGCTGTGAGGAAAGCAAAGCAGAACACATGATTTTCAGTTTTCCTCACAGCAACTGAAAAGGGAGACAAAAAGAGCCGAAGAGGTTGGTTTGAGATAAATAGTTAAAAATAAAAATGCAACCTGCCTCTGAGGAACATAATCACAAGTAACCTTTTTGCCACCTTTCAATGATGGTTCACATGTAGATTTCCACCACGGGTGATTCCAAGTAACATATCCCCCAGAAGCACAATTACTTGGACTAGGAGGCAAGAATCATTTCAGAAAACAAAGCTACATAACTCTACTGGCAAGTGGTATGCTATTTCTAGGTATATCTTTGAATTTGTAGTGCTTGATTAGTAAGCCAAGATCCTGTAAGTAGCTATCCTGATGCTCCCACTGGAGCACTGTAGCCAGCTCTGGGGTCCCCAGCACAGGAGAGGCACAGACCTGTTGAAGCACATTCAGAGGGGCCACAAAGATGATTAGAGGGCTGGAGCATCTCTCCTATGAGGAAAGTCTGAGAGAATTGGGGTTGTTTAGCCTGGGGAAGAGAAGGTTTCAGGGTGACTTTGTTGCTACCTTTCAGTACCTACGGGGCCTACAAGAGAGCTGGACTTTTGACAAGGGCATGTAGTGACAGGACAAGGAGGAATGGCTTTAATCCAAAAGAGGGCAGATTCAAATTGGTTGTTAGGAAAATGTTGTTCAAATTCTTGGCTATTGGTCAAACAAAACACTGGCACAGGTTACCCAGAGAAGTTGTGGATGCCCCATCAAGCCCTGCCTTTTCCCCGGACATCTCCTCGGGAAGGTGTCGCTGCCCATGGCAGGGGATTGGAACTATGTAATTTTTAAGGTCTCTTTCAACCCTAACCATTCTATGATTCTATGAAATCCTAGGTTACAGTTTCAGCAAATGTAAAGTAAATGTACAGTAAATGTAAAGTCCTGAATGTAAAAGATAGAACACTATTTTTTTCTAAATTGTCACGGACATCCTGTAGTGACATCCTGTAGCACCTTCTATTGAGATCAATGAGAGTTACAGTTGTCTGGGACAGAGTCCATATAGCTGTTATTAAAAAGTCATAGATATAAAGTCTAATAGGAAAGAGAGGGCTATCCCTTCCTGCATGCTTTCATCCTTTGCCTCACTTTGGTTAACTGAGGCTGAAGAATAGCCCCAACATCCTCTTTCCTGTAGTGACATCCTGTAGCACCTTCTATTGAGATCAATGAGAGTTACAGTTGTCTGGGACAGAGTCCATATAGCTGTTATTAAAAAGTCATAGATATAAAGTCTAATAGGAAAGAGAGGGCTATCCCTTCCTGCATGCTTTCATCCTTTGCCTCACTTTGGTTAACTGAGGCTGAAGAATAGCCCCAACATCCTCTTCAATAATTTTTTTTTTT